GTAAACTGAAATTATAACAAAAAAAGATTGAACTGAGGATAATACTTAATGTCTGTGCCTCGTGTCTTACAATGTGTCTGTGGCAACATAAAAGTATCTCTCGAGACTTCATGTGAGTATTCTGAAGTACCACTTGACCTCAAAAAGTCCATACCAACGACTTGGGTATCTCCTCTATGTGGGAGTTTGTCGCAGATCTATGTTGAGTACGAAGACATGAAAAAGTCAACGAAGCAGGCCGACACACTTTGTCTTTCAGTACGCTGTTTGCTATGTGAGACCAATGTCTGTGTGACTCTTTACACTTCAAACTTGAATTGTGTTGTTATCAATCCGGACTTAATTAGTGTCGACAATTTAAGACAGAATTTGACGTATTCAAAAACGTTTGGGCTTTGGATTAAGAACATTCAAGTCGATCAAAACACAACGTCGTTTGTGACGAACACCCCATTGGAACGATTACTTGCACTGAGAAAGCAAAGTGTTATCGACTATTTATTCGAGGAGAAAGAACGCGTCGTCAGGGAGTTTGTCCAGAAGCAAGAGGAGCTTTTCGAGGAGAAGCGGCGGGAGGTCAAGTCGGAGTTTTTAATGTTAAAGACACAGTGCTTTAAACAGAAAATCGAGGGCAACGAGGACAGTTTGAACGTCGGAAATAATTTAAATAAGTATGACGAAGTCATGCGTATCAGTGACGAGTGGAAGCGCAATGGTGGGGTGTTTAGGTTCGAAGAAGATGAGGGGCGACTCTTTGAAAATTGTTCTGCAAAATACAAGAAATTTGCAGAAAAAAAGAAAGAGGAAGGCGAAGAAAAAACATTCCCGTCCACTTTTAAAGAGTATGTCCTTGAAAAGCTTGTTGATGATAATAAGAAGTCGGGAGTGTCACCAGAATCTGGGCCAAAATAACTTATATGTTTCTTAATTAATATATAATATTAATATTTGTTTTATTGATTATATATTAAATATTTAATATATGTTATAATATTGTAATTAAATAAATTGAAGATAAATTTATTATATATCCAATTCAAATTATAATGTAATGTAATATTATTTAATATGATATATTATATGATACTTTAATTTAATCAATATTACAGTTGACCAAATAATTGTAAGAAGTAAAATAAATAGTTTTAAAACCTTAATCAAGAACTATTTTTGAAAATAGAAATGGGTTTCTTAGCATTATTTGATGTACTTTTTTTTCACTTTTTTTCAATAGTCATTTCCAAGGTAATTAACGGGAAATACATCCTTCTTACAATTATTTGGTCTCTGATAATTATTTGGCCAACTGTAATTATAATTTGAAAAACATGAATTTTTCATGTTTTTCAAAATGAAAAACTTTTAATTGTTATATTTATTTTTAGTACTAATTACTTATATTAATAATCAACTAGAATGATTAAAAAGAAAAATATTTTTGATTTGGAAAATGAAAAAATTCGATAAAAGTTGTTTTTTTCGTTCATTTTTTTCGAACAATAATTAAAAATACATAAAGTCCGTTATATACGCTTTTCTTGATAAAAAATGAGGAAATAGATTTTATTTCACAATAAAATAACTGAAAAGATGATAAGTGTATAAATTTTAAATGAAAACATAATTCATAGAATTGAAGTTGTGCTGCTATAAATATGAGAGCTTATAATTCCTTTTCAATTCACATGGACGAGCCACTCACTGGAGCAAAGAAGCAGTCGAACAAATCAACGAAAATTATGTTGGTTGTGTTTATTGTTTTAACAATCATATTTGGTCTTTCTACACTTGGCCTTGCAATATATGTTATTGTTGATACTGTTAATAGAGAAGATGTATGTGCTGACCCGGTTCTTCCCGAAGGTGCAATGACTCCCATTTCAGTTGACATTGCGATTGATGGTGTACTGGGTGGTGCTGCTGTCTACAACCACAAATTTGATATGTCGCCATCGCCATATTATAAACACATCAATGTTTATGACCAAAAGCCCACAGACACTTTGGTTGTCTTGGATAAATTTGAAACATACCAACAAACAAACGGATGGAGTTGTGGTCCGTCATCCTCATATATGGCACTTAGATATATGGGCGAGACAAATGTGTCTGAGGCAATTATTGCGGCAGAGACGGGTCATGTGTCTCCCGGACAAACACCAGAACAATTGGTCGAAGTTTTCGAGAGTCGTGGGTATAAAACAATCTCATCACCAAACAATGGGGAAAGATATTTTGGAACAGATTCACCAAAGAAGTTTGTTGATACTCTTCTTGACTATTTGAAAAGAAAGATTCCATTTTTAGTCAAACTTGGAGGACATTGGAGTGTTGTTATTGGGTATGATGATGTTGGAAAGCCAGAGGAGTATCAAACTCATGTCATGATACTTGCAGACAGTTGGGACACTCATGATGGACTTCAAGAGGGAATTATTGTCTATGAAGCAGATTATTTCTGGAATTTGTGGACGAACGGAAAAGTTGATATCGATGGGCGTTACCAACAATTCGTAGTTGGTTATAAGGATTAATCAAGTCTAACAGTACAATTATTTTATTTTTTATTATTAGTATGTCTTAATAAATAGAATAATATAAATATAATTATTATTTATAATTATTATTTGTCTTTATAAATAACTAGTTTTATATTAATTTAAATATATTATCATTTAAACTATTTTTTAATAATAATATATCATTTATTGTTTTAATTATGTTATATAACTTTTCAATGAAATATATAGTTCATTTTATAATACATGAAAATCATTTGTAATTAAATTTAAAAACTTTTTGTTTTTGACATAGTAAACCTCACCGAAAAAAAAAACTTTTTTTACGCTTTTTGTTTTTTTTTGACCATTTTTTATTAACTACAATTTATAATTTATTTGTTATTTTCCATATTTCTTATAATTTAAAGGTCTTTTTATATTTTTATAACTTATAACTATATTTATAACAATTTTACTATTTATATATTTTTTTATAACAAAAAAGTGTTAACTGGAAAAATCAAACATTTTGGTGTTTAGTTTAATAATTGATTTTGGCAAAAAAACTAAAATGAATAGTAAAAGAAAGTCAAAAAAAGTTGTTATTTTTGCCCAGAAATGCGTAGAGGCCAAAAAAAGCGTAGGAATTCTAAAAAAAAGGCCGTTAAAGAGTTAAAGAAACCCGATATATTAAGGCAATCTCAGTATGTTATAAAAACAATTTATATCCATAACAAATCAAATGGAATGATATAGTTCAGTTGACATCCAAGCAACAAAAATAAGAAATAAAAAAAGTGCTGAAAAAAATCAAAAGAAAAGTATTGATTATTATCCCGATTTAATAGCCATAACAATTGCAAAACTGCCAAATAACGAACAAACGATCACTTTGGAAATATCAGTTGAAAAAACAATAAAAATACACCAGAAGTTCGAAACTGTGTTATTTTTGTGTTTAAGCGGTTCACAAACTACGGACGAAGCATCGAAAGAATAGAAATAAAAATAAAACCCTTTTTTTTCGCTTTCCAGCCATTTAAACCTTTCTTAACTTGATTAATCACATTCCATCCACTTCTCAATGTCGAGTTTCACTAACACACTATCGGCTTTCAAACCAGTTAAGCCTCATTACTTCGAAGTCATCGACTTCAAAACTCAAAACATCTTTGCTGATGTAGTTTTGAATTCCCCGTCCCCCATCGAAAACATCAAAATTAAATCCCCTTGCCCAGCTACAGTCGTCATCAAAGAACGGAAAACAAAGAAGTACTGGACAAATGAACAAAAGAAAATCGCTGTGGAAAAAGCAAGAGTTCTTGGGCTGTCTAAGGCAACTAAATTTTTACAATTGAACTACCCAACCGCTTTTGCTGACTTATCGCCAAGCACTTTACAATACTGGATTCATAAAAGCAAAGTGGCTACAAGTACACTATAGAATGGGTTTTATGGTGTTATACAATATGTCTTAAATAGTAAGTTATTATCCAAACCATTTATTGTTTCTTAGATAGTTCGTTAATTGTAATTTTTACTAACAAAATTTTGTGTTTATTTTCAAGTTATCACAAATATAATATCAATATAATACAATTTTTTATTGTTGTTTTTAAAGAAAAAAGTATTAATATATTAGTATTACATAGTTTCAACTATTTATATTGTTTTTATAATGTTATTAATAACTGTAATTAATTATTTTCAACTTCATCTACATCTACATCTACATATATATGTTTGTCTAAATAAATAAATAAATAACGCATATATTTATTTATTTCAGTTGTACTTTATTCTTGCGCTTCTTAATAGTATTTTATTAATAAGCAATATACTATAAATATAATTGTTTTTACTAATCTTAATAATAAATTGTGATGATTTTTCAATACGAACGATAGTTAATTTTTACTAACTATCGTTTTATTAAAGTTTAGTTCCTTAAGAAAAGATAAAATTTTAAATAAATTATCTCTTTTTTGATGAATTAATTATTGTTTTAAATAGTAATTGTATAAACAGACAGACAAACAAGTTTTTGAAATTAAAAAAGAGGTTAAATAATAAAATAGTTAAAAATTAGAAAAGAGTATTTAAATGAGATTTAAAATACTAATAAGAAATAAAAAGGTATTAGAAGTAATGGTATTATAATGAAAACTTTTATATACTTTAATGTGTTATACGTTTAACATATATATCATATTTCGATAAGGTGTGATAAAAACATAAAAACATTAACAGTTGAAAATAATGGAGGTCTTGATAAATAATTAATAAAAAGTGTTAGATAGGTATATCAAATCGATAATAAACAAAAACAATTGTAGAACAAACACAAAAATTTTAGAAAGACAACACCAAAGATATAAAGAAGTTGTTGAATGTTATTTTTGCGTGCAGACTGAGATACCGAGTCTATAATACAAACGGATTGTGTTTGGTTTAACAAGCCAAACAATATATGATAAATGATTTTGTACAAAAAACACACATTATGTAAATTAGAATGAATGTTTAAAATAAGTTGATGTGTATATGTAATGTAAGTTACAAGCATTTTATAAAAAAAGATATTTAAAAATGGATTAACAACACGTATCGGCGATAGATTGTAACATGTACATCAAGATAATAACAACTTTATATCAAATAATATAGTCATGGTAAAAAAATTGTTGATTGAATAAAGGTTCGGTTTATTTTTACATTTCAAGAAAAGTTACACTTATGGTGTACCTTTAATTGAAGTTGTTTTCCCTTCAAACAGAACCAAAAAGAACATATTATTCAAATCAAAACGAAAAAATAAATAGAAAATGAAGGGAAAAAAGATTTCTTCTCATTTATAAACAATAACAAAAACAATAACAAAAAGATGATAAAAATTCCAATTAGATGAATGCTCTAGTCAATGGCAAGAGTATTTTATGCTTTAAATAAGTACAAAGCCAATCATCAAAAGAAACGCTAAACCTATATGGGTAACACTTTCTGTATTACCACATAAACAAACTCCTACATTCCACCTTTTTGACACC